GCGCACTCGCAGGTTAGTGTGCGTTCCATTTCCCATCGTGCTGTGTTAAAATGCTATTGATTTTTAAAAAGGTTTTTGAAGTGAACTGAAAAATTCTCCTTTTAAGAATATTAGAACACCTGTTTCCTAACTATAATATCAAAAATAATAAAGGGGCTTGTGAATAATTCTAACTGGCAGAGCATTCACATTCATTTATATTTTATAATTCTGGACAACAGAATTGTTAAGGAATCAGTTTGGGTTGCTATTCATGTGAAATAATTAGACATACTATACAAGTATGCGCCAGGCTGCTGCATGTGTGGACCTGTCATGTTCTTCTGGTCTGTCATAACTAGAGAATTTTGCTATGAGAAACATATTTTGGTTCCTTACATCATTGTCCACCAAATTAAAACTTTATACGTATCTTTCTATATTTTGTTCATTCTTCATGTTGAATTTTCTGAAATGACTTTCACATCAGCAAAGTTATTATCTTCCTTTAAGTTTGCTCCTGCTCTTCCCCAAGAGAGAAATAGCTGTTGCTACCTCAGGGGCTGTCCCCAGAGTTAAGGAAGACAGACAGACGGTCGACTGGGGCTTATCATGGAACAGACACTCAGCAGTAGCCAAAATTATCATAAAAAGGTTTCCACCCTAGACAGGTGATTTACAAAACGGGTGCTTAAATAAATTTTATAGTACATCGTTTTCTCTTTTGAAAAAGTATTTATGAATCATTTTATCTACCTTTTTAAAAAACTAGTGTAACTTGATCTAAAAGTGGTAGACACCAGAATTCATGACATTTTCAGCTACGTTATTTCTATTAACATAGGTGCACATATGGCATGATGATATATGGACTTTGGTTAAATGTGATTGAACAAAAAGTAAATGTATTTAATTTGATGTTTATACATGTTTGGCCATAATGTTATTATAACAGATACATTTCTTTTTTGATATTTTCAGAGGGTTTTGAAACCTAACCCCCCAGTTAAACATTTATGTATTAGCAAACATATATGATAAACATTTCACTTTACTTTCTTTCCAAGCACAATATTCCAGAATTATTTCAATGGCACTTATTATTCAAAATTGTGGAAAGAAAAGAATTAAGAAAGAGCCAGGAAGTGTATTTCCCCAGGTGGTTTTTCTTTCAGAGTAAAAAGCCAACTTCCTGTGGGTAGGCCCACAAGCCTTCTGCTCCCGCCTTGTCCCGGCTCCCCGCTGCTGGCCCCACCGGCCTCCCTGCTGCCCCCACCCTGGGAGCCTGTGCTGGCTTCCCCCGCTGCAGCGAGCGTCCTTCCCTTCAGAACGCCTGCAGCTGACTGTCTCGCTTCCACTCACCCTGTCGAGGCCGGCCACCCACCCCTGGGTTCACTGTGGTGGCGCCTCTCCATCCCCTTAACGCGGTCTCCCTTTTCTGTCCTCCCTGAAACACTCTGTGACACTTGCTTCCTGATAAGTGTCCTGAAGGCCACGCACACACGATTAGGCTCTAAAGGCAGGAGGTGAGTCCTGCTTGTCGAACAGCCTTGCCCTCTCTCATAAGCACCTTTGCCCCTGTGATTATCCAGCTGTCGGTTTCATTGCCACACTTTAAAAAGAAAGCACATGGACAAAGAGGAAAATGCTTTGTTGAGGAAATGACGTCATAATACTGCACTTTGTACTGAGAGAGCCCCTTTCTTCAAAAATGCTAATTTTGCATCAAAGCATATGAACTCACTATCTTGTCTTTATCTCTGGTTGGTCTGAGTGACCCAGTTTACCAATGAAGACCAGAGCGGGAAAGGTGAGATGGCTCAGACTGGGCGCACGGGTGGTTGGTCGTGCTGCTAAGAAAAGCACCCAGATGTTCTCTTTGTTCAATACATCATCCGACGTAGGGCTGGGTCGGAGGTTCTCTCTCATTATTATACGTTGTCACCTCATCTCAGTTCATACCCAGTGGCAAAGGAAATGGTGAGATAAATTTAAAACTTAAGCAGGCTTTTTCAATCTGAAGATGAAAAATACTATTTTTAGATGATGAGAAAGTGAACAAAACAGTTTCAGACCTTTATCTACTGAAACAATATGATATGTCTCAGCCTTAGAAAGCGAGCATATTTTAAAATGACTATAATTAAATATTGTGACTATGAAAGAACATTAATTTTTACAGCAGGTGAAAATAATGCGATAGCATGTAGCAGGAATGGGGGTAGAGGAGAAAGCTGTCTAATTTTGGCCTACTGGAACCGCTATAGATTTTCCATCCAACTCAGCAGAAATGTAACTTTAAGAGCATAGTAGCAGCTTTCCTTTCTGCTTGGAGACTTAAAGTTAAAGGTAGCTGGGCCAGTTTAATATGAAGGCTTGCCTGTGATGTGACTAACCCAGCAAGTTGTTAATTCTGCGCTTGCTGATGCTGCCTACCCTGTTTCTAGGTGACATTTGTTCTTGGGGTATATATTCTTCTCTCAGCTTTGAAATAGCTGTGAATCTTCTGAGAACCAAAGAACCTGGATATTAAAAGGCCTTTTTTTTTCTTTTTTTACATCGTTGTGGAGGCTGAGAAAGTTAAGAAGTATAGACTGATTCCTCTTACACATTAGTCTATTTAGCTTACTTTGTATCCTTTCTTTTCCCTCTTTAGGGATAATTGTTCACACTTCTAGAATAATTCAATTTCTTCTTTTGAACCCAGTAACACTTAAGCTACATCAGAGTTGTGGGTTTTTCTTTTTTTCTTGATACGGAAAGATAATCTAAAATTAAAACAACAACAAATAATGTATTTGTTAGAGATTGGTATGTGGTTGTTCATTTTGGCCAATATAATTTCAAATAGTTAAAATCACTCAAATATATTTACTTAGTAAGTTCATGTGCCTGAGAACAAAAATTAGATGTTTGGAAGAAAATGAAATAAGTTTCAATTTTTGTTCTTAGTGAGAACATTGCAAATCAAGGAAAACTGTTTACTAGACATTCTTTCCTTGCTAATGGAACTTCTTTTTCTCCTACTTTTGTTTCTCCATCAATTATTCAGAGACTAAAAATATATTTTATTGTAGTATTCAGTCTCCTGTACTTTCTGGTTAGAGGTAATTGTCAGAGGAAAGATGAGATTATCTTCTCCCCACCCCTGCCCCTCTGCTCACCTGCCTGTTTCCTGGAAGACTGGCCTGCCTTGAATAATCACTCTTTAATGTCCTGTTCCCAAAGTCTGAAGGTCTTGTTCAGTGTGTTCGACTAACTGATGGATTTAAATTCAGTGCTTTGTGCCATCTCCATGAATTTTAGCTAATTATACTACCAGTTTTTAGAAATGTGCACTAAATCGTGTGTGCCTAATTCTGAAAATGACTTCATACATTAAGGCTCATTTAACAACCACTGATGGTTAGCGAGAAGTTGAGAGGCTTACAGTCAGCTATTGGTCGTGATTTTAAGCACAGGTATAGCGTGGACCTTTTCTGGTACTGCAGGCTTCTAAGACACTCTGTTGTCAACCCCTCGGTCATTAGGAATGTTGGTTTATGTCTCACTAGTCAAGATGTCTCAGAGAAGATGTTTAGTCACAGAAAGCAAATCAGTGTCTAACAGGCAAAGACAGTGATAGGGAAGCACTTCCAGTCGGATATCCGTAGGAGGGACTGCCTCGTGTGCATTGCTGGGTCTGTGTAAAATGGTGTCCTTCTGTCACTCGCTGAATATAAATTTCAGTAAATGTTTTTTCTTGCTGCAGATTAGTGCAGTACAGTGAAGTTTTCTGTAACTGGGGGAGGCAGAGGTTGGGCATCTGCTAATAGCCTGAAAATAACTAATGAGGATGTGCAGTAGGAGCGATTGATTGAATAGCTGCAGTCGTGTGTTTCTTTCTCGCTTACTCTCTCTGCAAGCTGTAGAGAGGGAGGGGGAGAGCAAAGACACAGGGAGGGAGCGGGGGAAAACGCTTTCTCTTAAGTGGAAGTAGCACGGATCCCAGGGGCCAGGAGGCCAGAAATGGAAGTTTAAACTGCATCTGTCTTTTAAAGGGAGAGCAGCAGGAAGCAAAATGTCAGTCTCCGGAGTCACGATTTACTCCTTATTTTTTTAAGATCTGGAAGATAACACAGAATACTTTTTTTAGGATGTGTTTTGTTTTTCCTTGTCCATGTTGAGATTATCTAATGTTATCTGAGAAGCTGGATTCCTATATGTCTGTCAGTTGAAGTGGAGATGGGAAGCAGTTGTGATAAAGGTATAATTATGTATATATCTATCATCTGTGTGTGCTTGTGTATGTGCATATATATGCATATATATCACTCTTTGAAGAAAATTAATTGTAACCTGAATGTAGTGTATACTAATTAAATTGGAGATTATCACATTATGTGCAAAATCTGAAGCTTGTTAGGTAGTTTGAACAGGTTTAGGATTCCAGAGTAAAATCCTAATAAGGTCATATTGCCAGAACAAGGAGAAGCTGATCTATTTTTATATCTGCATAGGCATATATGTTGCCTGTCCCTGGCAGCAGCTCCCGGTCTTTGCCCGGCCCTTTGGTCTGCAGTCTGTGAATCATCTTATCGGCACCAACTGAACTTTGACCTTTGTGCAGACACCATCAAATCATGAGCAGCACTAGACTATGTTTTGTTCACAAGAATATCAGAAATTTCTATTAACTCCTATATTGCTGACAAATAGAGAACTAGATTCATGCACTGTGAGAGGCCAATATTAAGTGAACTTACAGATATTAAACTTAGCTCCGAGGAAATTACTTTTTCTATGTGCACAGATAAGAAATAAGCTGTCACACTACAGCGGGTTCTTAACTGTGACCCTCTCCCAGTGTCTTGATAGTTCAAATGCCACAGAGATGAAGAGAGAAATTATGTGGATATAGAATGTGTAATGTACCTTTAAAGAAAACTGATTTTTCGTGGAGAGGGAAACAATAATTTTACAATTTAGTGAAATCTTTTACATTTGGGGTTCTTACTGATGTTCCATTTCTTCTTTTGCAGAGGTGCCAGCAGAAAGGTCCCCGCGCAGACGGAGCATCTCAGGGACCAGCACATCAGAGAAACCCAACTCCATGGACACGGCATATACCTCACCCTTCAAAGTACCAGTAAGTACTTCTCTTCTCCAAAAGGATATTTTACTTTCCTCCTTTCTTCTTAGAGTTCAAGATAGTTACTATAAACATTTCTTTACAATACTTAGGTTGAAGGACAAAGTTTTCAGCTTCTTTAGATGAACTGTGGTTAATGTCTACTACTCTCAGTGTAAGGTTCATTAGGTTGTAGGGAATTTTATTTTTACTTGTGGGATATTCCAGAACACAGGGTCCAGCAGAAGTAAGGCCTGCTTGAGTGTGGTTGGTAGGGTAATAATATGGATGTAATAATTTATGTTTTAACTTGAACATTACACCTAAAATGCCATATGATGTGCTTGAGTATGATATTGTAATGTTACAGAATTACATGCTTATGATTTTGTAATAAGAAGACTTTGTAATAAAAAAAAAAGGGGGGGATGTTATTTGTGCTGGACCCTGTGTATAACTAAATACATTAAATTCAAATTCCTCTGAACTGTACAGTGCAAATCTTTGCAGAATCGCCTTTTACCAAGTTACTGGCCAAAACCTATCACAGTTCTGTAAAGGTGCTGGTGAGAATTTCTTTCTTTCTTTTTTTTTTTTAAGTAATGGGGTGTGATTTTTTTTTCCCCAGAGCTGTAACTTAAGTAGAGAATGATGAGACTCATAACGTTGCAAAGCATATTATCAGAGAATTTAAACAACTGTGAGTTCTAATCATGAAATCGGACCTGTGCTTTGCTTAAGTCAACTTTTAAATGACCCTTGAAGTGCTTAAGAAATACCCTGAAAGAAATATCCCAGTTTAAAATACTCCTCGAACTGACGAGGCAGCACTAAGAATTGGCATTAAACTCCAAGGGCGCCAAGACGGACAGGCTCAGCGGTCAGCGCTGCCAACCACCAGTTGCGGGCCAGGTGTGGGCCATTTTGCTAATAACTCTGAGTAACCCATAGTTTAATTCGTTCATTTTCTTTGTTTATTGAGCAAGAAAGATAGTTACGTCCAATCATATTGTTAAAGTTCATTGTTTTTAAACCTGAATAACTTTCATGAAGTTGGTCAGTATTATAGATACAATGAAAATCAATATAAAACAGAAATAGATTTTTCTGTGGAAAAAAAGGGATTTCTTTTAATTCAGCCAAGTTAATTGTTTATGTACATCTTTCTTTATGTACTACTTTCAGTGCTATTTTTTTTTAAGTTGGGATGACCTTTTACATAAAACTGATTTTTTGAGATACATAAGTAGGCGTTCACTAGTAAATTAACATAAGTGATGTTTCATTTTGGATTAACCCTGAGGAGCAAGATTTCCCCCTCAGTGCCTTGTGGTTTGTAGGTAATTGTTACTGTGCCCTTTCAAATTTTTACAGACTTTTTCATTTGGATAGTTCACAAGCAAATATTGGATAAATGTTCTAACCCAATTATGACAGGGATTTCAAAATAGCAGATTTCATGCCTTTTACTAAATGTCTTTGTTCCCTAGTCATGGCTACTCATTCTTTAAAATTTTTTAGTGAATGAAGAAAGTGTTTTTTCCTTCCTCCTCTCCTTGTTTTTCTGATGAAACAGAGATCAAATGTACTGAAACTAACTCCCCACCTACAGTTTGACAGTAAGGGATTGAACTAGATCTTGACGTTTTCTTACCATCATGCTGGAACAGAACGGTGAATTTAACAATTTTTAAAGTCGGTAACTGAAGAATATCTTTCTGCAGTATGGTAACACTGAGGTACTTCTAAGTTTAGTCTGAAGTTCATGGCTGGGCTTTTAAAATCTGAATTAATTACCAACAACAATTTTTATTTATACTTAAGCAGTAAGTTGACAGTTAATCTAAGGTTTACCTTAATAATAAGACTAATTATTCCTGAGTTAAAGTAACAAATCAGCAATGCAAATACGTGAAGGCCAGCGCTACTGACAGACCACTCCCTCAGCCGTCAGTTGCCTCGGCTGCCTCTGGAGGGAAAGGAGAGGCCTTTGCCTGACACCGCGCAGTCAGTCACCGACCCAAGCGCTTAGCTCTCTGGGAGGGTTTAACTATTCACAAGCCCCCGCCCAGACAGTTGTTTGAAAAATAACCAACAGAACACACTGGTTGCAGAGCCATAAAGAAATCTGAATCCACTTAGGATTAAGGCAGATAGCTTCACCATTGTCCTCCGGGGTGGGCGGTGCACAGTGTGGTCATTGACGTTGATAATAATGATCCTGAATTGTCAGAGAAAAGTGAGGTTATATTTGTTGTTCAGGGCTTTTTAAAAAGTGGAACTGTGTAATGTTGTGTAATATATATCCAGTGAGAGTATTTAAAATCTTGAAGCTATGTGATGCTTAAAAAACTTACCAGAAAAATCTGGCTTGTGAAGTACCTCATTCCTTGATAATGCTGGATAAATAATTTATATTCTTCTGAGAGAAACCATAGCATGCTGCCTAAGTGAGGCACTGCAGGACTTGGATGTCTGTGGAAGTACATTGTATTTTTTTAAATTTACTTCTAACACCAATAGCTAATGTGACTTACATCATTTAAATGTGTTGCCAATAAGAAGTATGTATAGTTTTTAGATCAACACAAAATATTTTTGTAATTAATATCAAAATGGACTTTCTGAATGCAGAAAAGCAGTACAAAAAAGGAACCACAGTTTGAGATACTTAACTTTAAATTGCTGACATAGTATCACAAAGATGATCATTTCCATGTCAACTTGATGAAGGGACAGAAGTGAGGTTTAGGCACAGGTGCTTGTGGTTCTAGGCAGGGTTCAGGTGTCTTTACCATGGTGAACAGCAGGTTCAGTGCTCATCAGTCAAACCCCAAAAAGACCTCGTAGTAGACTCCCCAAAATGCCCTTATTCTTCTAGCAACATTTTCATGCTTACTGAGAGCAGAGCAGAGGAAATAGATCTTAGCAAGCCTTGACTGAAATTATGGACGCACTTATTGAATGCTTACTTTGGGCAAAGTATTGGTGATTCACCAATTATAGATACTTTCTTGGCACTAGACTTGGTGTGGGGGAAACAGAAATGGACACAGAATTTTCCACTCCCAGAGAACTTATAATCTAGTAGCAAGAGACAGAAAAACAGCCAGATGCATAAGGAGGTAGGTAAGCGTAGCCACATGGGTTTTTAACAATGTACTGTGTGTGCTACGGCTCTGCCAAGGAGCCAGTATATTAGCTGAGTTGCAAAGGCTGAATGGAAATAACTGACAAGGGAAGCAGAGTATGCCAAGCTGAGGGAACGGTATTTTGGAAAGGAGCATTTCATAAGATAACTGATGCTTTTAGGGAATAGGGAAAGGGTTCAATGAGGCGGGAATAGAAAAGCACATAGGCAAAAATGGCGAGAGAGAAGGCTAGAAAGGTGAGTTAGGACAAGACTGTGAGTGGGTTTGTTTATCAAGCTTAACTAAATTTTGCCAGCTGCTAAGGCCTTAGAGATTTGTTTATTGAAATATTTGTCTTGGCCCATAAAGCGAAGCCAAGTTGTATAAATATTGTGAAATATTGGTAAATTACTTGCCTCTTCCCCAAGTGACTCTTCTTCCTCTTGCCAGCACTCCGAGTGACAGGTGAGGGGCTGTCATTCGGTAGAGGGCCAGCCCAGCACCCAGCCAAGAGCTGCGCGCACTAGAGCAGAGTTCAGCTTCAGGGAGACTCAGGAGAAGCCAGCGGGCGAGCATCGCTTGTGCCCTGCTGACTGCTCCCGGGTCAGCCAGAAAGGAGCCGAGCTGTAACCACAGCAGCAGGCCCACAGCAGGGAGGCCCAAGACCTCCAGAGCCTCCTCAGTCCCTCAAAGTCATACTTTTAAAAACTTAAAATGGGTAACAAGTCCAGCAATGTATTCATGTATATTTCTTACTTAGTCTAAGCCCCCTTTATGCAAGTGGTAGATAGCAGAGTCAATAGGTTTAAAAATAAGGACACAAGAAATGAAAGAGGGAGCTTACATGGACACTGAACCTGCAGGTTAAGACAACGGCTTGGTTTTGAGGGACGTCTAAATGTATTTGTACTTTAATCATAGCCACGAGAAAGAGCAATGGTTTGCGTGATGGCTGCTCTGCTCTTCCTCCACTCTCACCCCGTATTTCTTCACCTTAATTCCAACTGTAATTACAGTTGACCCTTGAGTAATGCTGGGGTTAGGGGCCCCAACCACCCCAGCAGTTGAAATTTGTGTGTATGCCTTAAGTCAGGCCTCTGTACACACAGTTTCCCAACTGTGGGTTGAAAATAGTATTTGTTTGCAGGTCTGTGTCCCCTAATTAGAAAATGAATAACTCTCCTACTCATCTTTGTTGCTGCCCTAGTGCCTAACACAGCACCTTGAACATAGGAGACACCTAATAAATCATTGCAAGTGAACAAAATATGCATGAATCATTGAAGGACCAGAATAGAGTATCTCTCATACTTACTCTCTTGGTATTACTGGTATCGTCTCCAGTCAAATAGATTACTAAACCATTTGATAACCACTAAGAGATCATCTGGAATAAATGAGTGCACCTGTGCAGAAGAGTTATATTTTTATCTTCAACAAAGAGATATTTGAAGTTGTATTTGGAATTCAGGGCTATGGCATTTTATGGATATAGTGTATTGTAGTGTATACTGTATCCAGGTATATTGGGAAGTGAAACTAGGTAGATTATTTTTTAATTCATGATTTGTTTCCATGACTGTCTTTGAGCCCTTCAGGTGTCATACATACATATAAGCTCGCGATGTTTCTGCAGACCTGAGTTTTGACTGTTAGATTCTTTAAGAACAATTTTAGTCATTTGAATAGTTTTTGCCTCTTTTTAAAGATCCTATTTTTCACTTTTTCTTTACCATCCTAGCAGAATTTTTATCTTTGTCACATTTGTATTTTCCTTTAAATACAATATCCATTCTATGATTTAGACATTGTTAAAACTACATTTAAATATCATGGGATTATTAGGAAGAAATTAGTAAACTAATGAAAAGTTATTTAGGTGCTTAT